TTATTATTATTATTATTATTATTATTATTATTATTATGGTGAATCATGTTGTAGCTGACGAGAAATGACTTTTGTGTTTGCCATGGTTATGATGTCTATTCGGGTGATTTGTCTCGGACTGCATTTTCACTGAACTGATGAGAATGACCAGTGATGCACAGTGGCGCAGTGGCTTTATTATCAAAAACCGGCTGCATTCCATATCCTACAATACGTTCGATGCAACTCTCCCTTAATGTTGCATTTCAATTTTTTATAACTTTTCGTGGTGAAATTTCGGTCATCGTATACTGTTTGTGGGCTCTCCGACTTTCATCAAGATCACTTAACCCTTGACACCATAACGGAATAACATCAAGCTAGTGTCAAATTCTGCAAACTAACTGGTCTTAGAAGTTCTTACCTCGGGTCGTAGCGTGAACCATCTGCTGTAAACTGATGTCAACTTGCAAGCTAGCGGCCGTCAAATGGGTGTATGTCCTTCCACACGGTACTGTCAGTTGCTTGGTACCACGTTGTTCTGAAGCACCAGTCAAATTATGAATGCTACAGACGGAAACTTAGCAACTGTTTCACGTCTGCATATGAGTCCAAGGACATTCTTGCTTGCCCATTTTAGTGATGGCGTCTCGGGGTCCCTCAGACACAAGCCCGTGTGATCAGACTAGCGACTGCATAATTCCTCCTTGGTAGACCAACTGAGAGTCGTCCGCACGCAAGACACCTTAGGACAACGTACTAGGCTTCAAATTGGATTGATAAGGAGCGATCGGGTCTGATGCGTTCGCTTGAACATTTATCGCCCTCATTCTTCCATCAAAGCTGGTGCTCTTCAGGAACATGTGCGGGCCAGATGAAAGTCTAGTGGATTTTTTGAATTTCACTAAACTGCAAATAAAACTGTGTGTACAGCGTTACGCCAAAGGATAGTCCCACAGAAAGTTACTTGAGAGTTGAGCACTGGGGATGTAGTTCGGCGATCCATGGAAAGTTTGAAGTTATGACGTAACCGCAAACAGATTTCTGTCAGGTATCCCATCCGAGGAATCCTCATTCACCCATGCCAAGTTGCTCATGAGACGGTTGCTTTCTAACCGAATCGCAACATAACGCGACCAATAAATGTTAGTCCTAACATTTATCAAACCCTATTCTGAGTGCATGAAGATCTTATGCATGAAGATCTTCTTATAAAGTACCAAGCGAGAAAAAAAGAAGTCTATGATCTTCTGTGTGTGGGAGTTCGAATGGTGCTTGTACAAGCAAGAGAAAGATAGAGTTCCAACACAAAGTGAAATGGAAGTTGGTGTTGTGGATAATATGACCCGGAATTGAAGCTCTCTGTTGGTGGTCATTGGCCATCTGTGAGAACATTTTAGATGTTCTTCCAAGTACTTGGTCTGCTGCCTAGAGATAAAAAACTGCTCTTTGTCGGAAAACTTTAAAAAAATGAATATGCGACTCAACTTTGTGACTCATTTCACATCACCCGTGACTCACTGTTCCAAGCGCATCCAAAAATGCAATAAAAAAGGTTTTATTAAATGATACCTAGGTTAGTGGCATGACCGTTTTGTGTTTTATTTGCCCCGTTTACGTTTGTTCTTGAACAAAATGGTCTGATATATTTTGTCAGACTATCCGATAGCTCCTTCTTCATGGCATAATTCCCCATGCCTGATAACAGCAATGTTCCGATGAGTTACATGTCAATGACTAAGGTCTTGTGCACTTGCACAAAGCGGCCACAAAATACCATGGGTTCACCAAGATTCTTATGTGGTGCTTATGAACATTCTTTAGACATTTTGGTTTGTGTGTGATGAGAAAAATGGGTTTCCAGCTAGAATCTTCTTGTCGCGAGCTTTGTTTCTTTATTTCGTTGGGCTGCTGCCGTCAAACTTTACGCCCCAGATCATGTGCAGTGTACTAGGCTTCGGAGAGTACTTTACCCCGGCGTCATAGTGTCAAACAGTGACCATTTACTGGGCGGAAAAATCGCCCGACAAGATGAGGCATCCTCTGCATTCTATTGTTTCCTCACGCTAGCGGTTTTGCTAGGACAGCAGTCTTTCGTAGATCACAGTAATGACCTACAACAGAAATATGTATCTCAGCAAGAGGAACTGATGAATGCGCTCAAAAGGCAAATAGAAACCAAATATCACAAGCCTGACGCTGGGAATTTAAAGGGACACCAACTTTTTAGTGATCAATTTAGACCACAATCGGATTCCCGTTGCTTTTGAATCTGGCATGTAATAATAAGTACTGTACCTTTTCGGTTTCCGACTTTATTGTCTAAGGCTGCGTACGGTCAATTTCATGCGCATCGACTTACCTTAAAACTCATATTAGCGTTCTTCCGGCGAATGTGATCTCAAACTACTCAGGGTGTTTTATTTTCTTCACCAATTCTGCCTTTGACTCACAGCAATAGGTTTTAGATGGTTGCATGTGGTTGCGGGATTCCAACAACTCACTTTCACACCACTCTCGTTCGAACAGTCCTCCTTCTGTCCTGGCGCAGTTATTCTCATATCTACATTAAAGAAGAGAAAAACTGTGCTCAAATTTTACTCTCATTGAAACTCATCTTCAGTGCATATCCTTCGACCTACGAACATCTGATATACGGGGTGAGCGTGTTTACTACCACCCCACCAGCTCACGCTGGACGCATCTGAATAGTCACATTTGAACAGGCGAACAGGCGAGATTAGTTTCGCTGATACCTTATCGATCAGCAGCTGTTGCTCGTATAAGTTGCAACAGCGTCCGGAAATTTACGCATAATGATATCACCACAATTCACTGTCTCTCCTTTCAGGATCACATGTGCTTCACTGAAAATGCGATCTATTTGTAGTTCAAGATGCGCGTCGAGTAGCTGCAGAGAATCGGCAGATATCCGGAACGCTTTACTGCATTTGATCTAACCGCAATATGCTAGACCAGACGAATAGATGGTAGATTTCTGCTTTGCATAGGCATACTGCGCGTACCTGCATATCAGCAACCAAACCCACGATGTCCACTCGCGAGTAGATCATGCAAGGGGGCGAGGTGGTTCAAGTGATTAGAGCGCGAATAACGGGCAGGATGGTCCGTCGTTGGAATTCTCCTGTCTAGGCATGGGCAAATTGGCAGTATATCAGCCCTCGTGCTTCCTCCGGGTGGCAGGGCACCGGAAGGGTGTTACAGCTGAATGATTATCTTATCTTTTAGGTCATGCAGACGTTGAAAGAGCTTAGACTTTAGTGTTTCGAAGCTAAAGACAGCAGATTTCTTGGTAGAAATGGAATGTGAATTCGAGGTTTCTGGTAGATCTCCAGAAGACAGATTATTCCATTGTCCTTGAAAAGAGTACAGAACAACTTATATTTTATGTGTCGTACAGAAACGGGATTGCCTTGTTTTGGTTAGGCTTTATTGTGTTTGAATTATAAGACTGAATTTATTAATTTTGCTGCCCTCACGAACAAGATTTTGCCTTCTGTTCTCAGTTTATTCAAATGGACAATTCTTAAGCATTTGTTTTACAGCACATATTGCAGTCACTCACGCTAAACAGCAATAGGATAATAGAGTCATTGAGGTGATAGTGAACCTCTGCGGAACTTAAGGAGGCGATAACACGAAGTTTGTCCTTTCAACCTGACATTTCTTCTAATGTTGTTGGACAGTCACACACCATCATTCGGTTGAACCATTTTTTTAAAAGCTACGATCCTGGGATTCCGGGTTGTCGATTTTTCCGAAATTTATTTTGCGAACTCTGCCATTGACTTTCTAACCAAACAAGGACTTCGGCAAATTGATGTGGCTAAATTGTACGGTTTTCGAGGTCTCAGACGAAATAAAATGGACTAAAAGTTTTAGCGCTCTTAGTAGCAGCTGCCGCCAAATAAAATTTGTGATACAGAAATTTCGTGCTTGTAATCCTGATACTCAACACGAACTATTAGGGGCGTTTCTCACGAAAACACCAAATTCAGAGAAGTCGCCTCTACCTCTGTTCAACGTGAACTGTGACGAGGCTTGAGTTAAACTAATCACTAGTTGTGAATTCAGGTTCACATCGCTCGTCTAAACGGTACTTCTGTCCTGGCACAGTTACCGTAGTGAGTCCACACCAAACGGAGGAAGCAATGGTGCTACCTGAATGGGAATTCCTGATAGGCGGTCCAGTCGATCGACAAAAGCGTGGGCGGTTACTCAGCCGCTGTTCTGGTCGTCAGGCCAACCAATAGCACTGTTCAAGTGTGAACGTGTTCGCCTGTTCAGACGCGACTACTCGGGTGCGTCAAGCGTTCATTGGTGGGGTAGCGATAAACAGGCATGTCAGTTGCCCGAAGTTCAAGCTCCGGACACGGCCAAAGGTATGCACTGATCCACTTAGAGTGAAACTGGAGTCCACTGATTCCCTCTTTGATGTGGACTCATGAGAATAACTGTTTCAAGATATGAGGGGAACTTTCAAAGGAATTGTTCAAATCCCGTGACCATCTATAACTAATTGTGGATTCGTGTTTCTTGTAAACTATACGACGGACATCTGTATACACATATTAAGGTGTTGCAGCCTGATTAAAGAAAACAAGTGTGACGAATATAATGTTCATAACTGGCATACTTGTTATTTGTCGTTGTTGCATTTAGGGATGCGAAGGTTAACAGTTTCGTCTCGGTGGATGGTGAGTAAGAAAGGAGTTTGGGAACTACTGCTCCAAAGCATATTAGATAGTTTGCCCCTCTGAAAAACCGCAGTTGATATTCTTCATTTGGACGCCAACTGTGTATAGAAAAGCATTGTTTTTAATGGATTTATCAAGAGATATCAGTGCAATTGGGTCAGGGTATGTTCACAAGGTTCTAAGGTTCTTGCCTTGTTCCGCTTGTAAGAACCATCCGGACATCCATCAGGAAACCGACAACAAATTTCCTTTCAACAGTCGGTAATGATGATGAGCTGTTCAACCGCCTCTATGAATACACCACTCATGTCACTTCTTTGTGTTGCCATCATTCAGCTACAGTTGTAAGCAGGCTGACACAGTTGCGTTTTCAACCATGCTTTCCTTTGTCGATGCTACTTCCCACAGTTGTTCGGCTTGTATGTTCTCAGTGATCATCACCCTTTGGCGTCTCTAAGGGTCCATCAACTACTCGCAAATGTTCGTGCGAACGCGTTGTAAATAAAGTGTCAGTCCGGACTCGGTTTACAGAGAAAGCGCATGATCACTCGTTTGATTTAGAGAATCGGTTTGAGCGAAAACTGCGTCCGCGTGCGCCATTGTGCAGCCCCTTTTCGTGCCAATGTTTTCGTGGACTTGTGGGTTGAAGCCTTTTTTAGGAGGGTGAACATACATCACTCACTGACGAGTGGTCACATTTTTGCGCTTCGAATCCCCGTTGTGGATGAAAGAAGTAAACAAACAAAAATGGCAAGCAAATACAAACAGAAGACAGCACATCATGGAGCTCTGCCCCTGAGCGTGCACGTGCGTCTGTCTATCCGCTGTATTCTACCATTTGCCTGTGACTGTACCGCTGTTTTTACCTTGCGGCGATCGTTCCCCAGCCTGATCGTCGACCTTCGCTACAAACCATCCACCCCAACGAGGTCGATGCTCTGCGACAAAAACTGGCGGATTTGTTGGTCATACCGGTGAGCTGAATGTTTTCTGGATATGGAAATTTGTAAATCCTCTGCTAAACACAGTGCTTGTGATCTATGTACGGTCAGCCGGGTTGGTGATGAACGTACGGACCAACGTTTCCGGAACAAACAGTCGAGTGGATGTGGGTTTTGGGGGGTAGAGATAGGATAGATGTTTGAAAGAAGTGGAGTTAGAACGTGAGCGGCATCCGAGACAAACGATATGCGATTAAAAGGGGAAAAACTCAGGATTTTCGGGACAATAAATCTCACTGTCACATTTCGAGGAGGACAGCACTCGCAGTACCAGCTGCTCGGACTTACGTATCTCTGAGTACCTGACGGCCTGTAGTTCCCGGTTAAAAACACTTTATGTTTGCGGTATTGCACTTGGTTTGGAGAGTACTTAAGCACAAGTCACGCAAAGATCACATCATTTTCAATACGTATTCGTTACACCTCCCTTCAATAAACAATACGAGTGGGGCACACAGGCTAATCTGACTCAAATATGAGTCACTGTCTTGTACTCTCCGTTGGTTGAATGAGTACCATTGAGTACGCTTGAAATAAAATGATAGAGAACTGACTGACTGAAATAGGAGATTGTCAGTTTAATTCTGTCGCAGTACGCTCTGTTGTTTCATTGGTCTACTCCCATAGGCTTGGCTATTCTGAAGGAAAAGAATTTTGACTGACAGATGATCGCATTTCCGCCTAACCGGCGCGGGTAAACAGCCTAGCCAAGATCCAATGGTTTTGAAAACCGTGAAAATAGGCGACCTGTTAGGGTAAAAGGAATTCACCGAGTGTTACTGCGTCAGGATTGCTAACCAGTGAAAAGCGATCAACTGATATAGGAAATTCGGAAAGGTCTTCGGCTACCCAGGAGTAAAGTCGAGGTATCAATGTCAGATCCAAGTGTACTATTAATTATTTCTCAAATAACACTGAACAACTTCCACCCAGTATGATTTCTTCGCTTGCCAAGCATCAACCAAACCTAAGTCCCAAGCATAAAAACTTTCCAGGTAATAGAACCACTGATTGAATGCCGTTTTGCTGCCACAACTGTGCCGTACTGTACTTCATTCTCGGACACAAATTCTGACAGGACACTCTTGCTAGTTGAAAAGAGTGTCTCCTTTTGAGTATGATAGAAAAATTGATGCAAACTCATAGACATTCTTCTGTCAGTTTTCGGTAATCTTGGAGCCCATCTGGTGGGTTTAGCTACAGAACTCTAGCTACCCTTTTACAATCTTAGCTAAACCAATATCATAGAACCGCTAATCGAGAGGCTAAGATAGTGTACGCAAAATTACATGCTCACTCCAATATGAATGCTGTTCAGCCAGGTGGGCTTGTGATTGGCTTCGGGAACAAAAGGAGTGATATGCACCACTTTTTCTTAATTAATTTGAAGCACTGTTCGACTCTGACACCTTTGGTGAGGCTGTTGGCAAACTGGCCTCGATGACGTCAAAGACATTGATCACAAACCCGGGCACATTGCCTTTGATGTGACTTGCTCGCTCCAACGGCACTTTCACATTACATAATCAGACGGGAACCCAGCCCAACAGGCGTTCTTTGTTCAAGGTGATTTCTAGTGAAGCAGGGCTCAAATGGAAAACGAAGTAAAAACAACGGCATGACTTTGTCAATGCCTCCTCCTAAGCAAGTAGTGAACGTGATGAGCCACATCAATGCCCCATTGATAAGGTGGAAAGTGACCGGTTGGAATGTGACTCACCGAACATGATACAGCCGGGCAACTTCCAGAGAGAACCTGCACGATTCAAAACCTTCCGAAAAATTGTTACCACTTGACCGTAGATTACGCAAAGTTGTTCACTTACTGGCATTTCCTATACCGG